ATCTCTATAAACATCTCACAAGACATTATGATTGGCGAGAAGTGTCGAAAGGCATGTGATTTTGGCAGTGATTGCATAAAAGAGAAGTTTGACATCAAAAAGATCCGAATCTATTCGCCTAACAATGGCTTCTTAATTATGATGACAACCCCCGACTTTGCCGACCAATTGCTCCGACACTCACCCAAAATCATATTCGAAGAGTTCGTGGCATTCATTGCGAGTCTATTCGGTCTATACTTTGGATTCTCGATCATTATGTTGACTGATGTCTGTTCCCATGCCATCAACTATTGCTTAAATAATTGGCATTTAAAGGCAACTCATATTTTGAACACATTTCATATGAACTCTAAAAAATCAAAATTTAAAATAATTCATTTGAAAGTAGAGCCAAAAGTGATTATTAATCATAAATAATTAAACATGACAATACCCTAAATTACTACATAACGTAAATCCATAAAATGTTAACAACTCATAAGATTTGATATCATTATAAAATTCTATTGAATTATATTTAATAAAATAAAATAGTTATGAATTAAATTTATTGTTTTATTATTGCATAAATAAATGTAAATTTATGATTTTATTGCACCATTAACTGGAAAAATGTTATTTGGTATTAATGACATTTTGTAAATCCTTTGAACACAATTATTAAAGCATTACATTTATTATTTACAATGAATTTATTTATTTAGAAATTAGTAACCGACTGATATAATATATCAAACTTTTACCACATAAAAGATATATTAGAAATGATGCTAATATTACAACATTTTTAAAACACTTACGATTATTATCACAAAATTTTAATAAACGGATATTTTCTTAATAAACTAAATGATTATCTAATAAAGAGTTCACTAATCGTATGAAATACAATAAATAAAAATCATTTCTATTGCTTTGTTTTGTAGTGGAAGTGAAATCATTAAATACATTAAATGATAAGAACTTTTCCATCAAATATTCACAAACAATAACACAATTGTTTACATATTTTAAAGTATATAAGCAGTTGAATAAATATCCAAATACTCATAACCAGCAAAACATTTGCAAATAATTCAATCCAAAGTTAAAAATTAACTTTAATTTCAAATATGCGTTCAATGATTGCTATATTGACCCTGCTATTTGTTGTCTTCACTATTGGTATGTTATTAAAAATATAAATATTTTATAAGATTTAATTATTAAATTTAATTTCAAATATACTAGGTGACTCTATTAATGTAAACCAGAACTATGCAAAAACAGTTCCTCGAGTCAGCCCAGAATTTAAGGGAACATTTTCTGAGGACTTCCAACAAGGTATGACCAAACTATAAATAGTTTATTTAGTATAATTCAAATAAATTATATATCGTAGGGAAAAATGCGTCAACATTTGCCCTGGAGTCTGCCAATAACTGCTGGGTCTGTTATAATCCCTGTGCTATGATCTACTGTTGCGATGATGGGTACCCCCAGTGCTGTATTGTTGGCGGTTATTGTGGCTGTTGTCGCGGATAAATCACAAATTTATTATTAATACTTGAATTTATATTTAAATTCTATTCATTATTTGTAAATTCATGCATTTAATTTTATATTAATAAATTTTATGGTTTTAAATTACTCATTAAAGATTATCATTATTTTAATTTTCAAGTTAGCTTTCAAATTCAATCATTTAAAAATAATCTATTAAAGTAACATTGAAATTATATTAATTAGTTATTAAATTGTTCATTAAATATTTTGTTAAATAAAATTCTTAAAGAATATGTGTTGGATTAAAAATATTAAAGTTATTAACAGTAAACCGCAATTCATAAACATAACAAATTAAATTTGGTCTGCCTTACATTGTAACATTGCAATAGCTAGAAAATTAAAGATAAAATGATTCAATAATATTATGACATTGTTTTAATTCAATACTTCCTAAATAAACAAGTTTATTTATTGTAGAGATTATCTTAAGAATGATATCTAGTTAATTAGTGTATCCTATGTTATATTTATTAATACATTTCATTGAAGTTTGAAAGGAATTCAAGTCAATGATAATTAGGATATTGACACAGTATTAGCAACAAAATCTTGAAAAGAATATTCTTAAAAATTTCTAAATTGTAAATTATTACTGGTTAATATAAATAAAACACTGTGTTTGTTCATATCTTTTATAATTTATTATAATTATAATCAAAATCTAAGTTTAATTACACGAGTCGGTTGTATATGTTTTACTCAAATATTAATATTTCAAGAATGTAATAATAAATTATAATAATATTGCTTAATTGATTTTCATGCAATATATTTAATTATTTCGAAATAAATGGAAATTTTAAACAAATAAAATACAATCTTATTTACTGTTAATTAATTCCCGAATGACATCAAACTTATTCCGGCTAAAATAAATTATTTTGAAAAACAAATAACATTGATTAAAGTCTGATATAATT